AGAGAAGATCTGATCTGATCTGGACTGACCCGACATCCATCATACATCACACATGTGAGAGGGGAGGAGGGACCGCAATCACAGAAGAAAGGTCCTTCCTTCACACACGTACACGGGGAGATACCACAGATGAGAGATGGGGGAAAGGGGGCGAGACGAAGGAGCAGGAGGCGAGGGAGTAGACCAAGATCGCAATAGCGAAGTCCCAAAAATAGTCCCTTGCCGAGTGTCCAATCAATGTCTGTCCCAGAATGTCAAATCAGATCCTGGGCAATGTGCCCAACATAACCTCTGTCTGAATTCCCCGCTGATCTCCCTCACTCTCATAGATGAAGAAGAAGGTAAGAAAGAGGAAAAAGAAGGAGAAAGGAGAGAGAGAGATGGAGGAGATGACGTCCTCCTTGCTATCTCACCTGCAGGTAGCTGTCACCGTACTGACTGTGGTCGTCGTCGTGTGCAGGTACCGAGCGGAGCCCAGCTATGGCGCCAGGTAAGTTCGTCTCTTACAGGTAAGGCCTCTGCCCTTTCTACTACCAACTCCGCTACTCCCTACTCCGTAGCTTGCCGCAGAATAACGCTGTTTCAACCAGCAGCGTGTCGTTCCAGAAGTGAGCTACTCGAACTGTCCCTTGCCCAGCCGCTGCCCAGCTATTTGTAGTGCTGGGCCGGCTGGGCCTACCTGATGCTGGCCTCAGAAGACGGCCCAGCTGGTCTGGGTCCCTACCGGACGTCCAGACCACGCTGCTGATGCAGCAAGGCGCAGATATGCGCCTGGCCTAAAAACGGCCCGGCACCTGTGCACCTAGCCCAAGGCGTCGCCTTGGGACCTGCAGGACCGAAACGACGCCTATACCTACCGGTTTGGCGCCAAAATGCGCCTGGCCTCGTTTCGGGCCTGCCTCCGGTGTACCCAGTCCCAAGGTCCGGCCTTGGGGCTGCAAGTCCGAAACGGCACCTGACAGACAAAGTAAGACAGCAAACACACACAAAAAGGTAAGTAAACTAAACCTGTCTAACTAGTGTGCTAGCTAGGGCCTGAAGGGCCACCGTGGGCCTCCAGGGCGCGTGCTGTATGGTACGCGGCCTGGGGGCCCCTCAGCAACCGTCGGGCCCCTCGAATGGGGTCCGTGTGCAGGCGCAGCATGCAACACACAGTTAAGGTGTGTGGGGTGTGTGGGGGCAGAAGAGGAAAGGAGGAATTAGCTCTTAACATCAGTGGCTATTGCTCAACATCCTGCAAAGTTAATCCTCTGGACACCAGAGCTTTTCTCAGTTTGCTTGCTCTGAAAAAACCCCACCAGTAGCTCTTATACACATTACAGTCATAGTTCAAATTTGAAGGGGGAACTAGTGTGTAGCGATGTATCTGACGCCGGATTCAGGGCGAAGAGGTTCCCCCTTCCTTCCAATGTCCTGCTAAGTCAATCCCCTGGATCCCAGGGTAATGAATGCTGGCAGGAACTTCCCACAACTGTTTTCCGATGTACTTCAAATTCAATTTGTATAGGGGACGCTGGACCTGCTTTCCAGCAGGTGATGCTACAACGCTGGACCTGCTTTCCAGCAGGTGATGCTCCCCACCAATAGATGGAGCCTCTCCCCAGGNACGCTGGACCTGCTTTCCAGCAGGTGATGCTACAACGCTGGACCTGCTTTCCAGCAGGTGATGCTCCCCACCAATAGATGGAGCCTCTCCCCAGGTGCTAGTGGTGTCTGCTCTTATCAGCACCACTAACACTGGTGGGGGTGTGTTATAACAAAAAAAAAAAAAAAAAGGTCTTGATATTTCCAGGAAAATATCAGAAAAGTGGGGAAAAAAAGCATTCTGCCCATGAAATAAATGTCGCGCCATTCGTCACATTTTCCATTTTCACCACTCTACAACTTGTGGGCCAATGGGAAAAGTACCTCGATTTCAGCGACTTTTCATGCTCAGAAGAATATGTAAGAAAATCTGAAACGTGGAGGGTCTGTAGATTTGGTTGTGATCTTTGCAGGAAAAAAAAATAAAAAATAAAACTTGTTTCAATCACGAAATAGGTCGAGGCGGCAATTCATCGCATTTTCCATTGTGGCCGCTGTGCCGGTTCTCCACACTATGCTACCGGTAGCCTCATGAACATGTGCTACCAGTCCCCCGAATTTCCAACGTCAGGTAGAGTGGTGGTTTAAGCCACCATTACGTTTCCCAGCTATTTTGTTCAGACAGGGGTGTATCCGCACCGCAACCTCCTTCAGCCATCGAGGCTGCTTCGGCAGGCCCTTGTTCCATTTTCAAGCCGCTCCTTCTGGTACCACCCTTTGCAGGCCAGCCGATGTCTTCATGGCCGTTCCAGCGGATGTCTTCATGGCCGTTGGATGAGCCCTACCAGCCTTCCTGCCGTATGGCAGGTTTAGCGTGGGGGAATTCGACAGTACTGAAAAAGAACAAGTGAAAAAAACTGCGCCGCAGCATTCATACAACTGGGTTATGGGTGGCCAGTCCCAGGTGTGCATGATTCAAACTTCTGCGTTGCACAACGGTCGGAATTCAAAACGTCACATACGCACTGTTTTCGTCTACAGCCTTTCATCACCGTCCATGTCAGCGTGCAAATTGACAAATATGATGGTGTGCAATTGCGTTGGTTTAGCACCAACGATCGCGTTATCCATCAATTACCAGAGGGAGAGGAACGTGAGAGAGAGAAAGACGGTGAGAGACGCTATGCAATGCAGAGAGAGAGAGAGAGAGAGAGAGAGAGAGAGAGAGAGAGAGAGAGAGAGAGAGAGAGAGAGAGAGAGAGAGAGAGAGAGAGAGAGAG